ACGCATGACGGAAGGAACCCCTCCCCTTCCTACGCATAACGGAAGGAACCCCTCCCCCTTCCTACCCACGGCGGAAGAACCCATCCCCCTTCCTACGCATGACGGAAGGAACCCCTCCCCTTCCTACGCATAACGGAAGGAACCCCTCCCCCTTCCTACGCACGGCGCAAGAAACCCCCTCCCCCTTCCTACGCACGACGCGATTTCGAGGGTCGCGCTGTCTGCGGTAAAACCGTAATCGCATTACATCGACGCAAGACAAGAGTCTACAACTGTGCCGCGGGGGCGTTTGCGAGAAGCCTACGTGGCTTAAACGAGCCGTCGCTTAGCGAGGCGAGGCCCGGACGGGGTTGAAGCTGGCATGACGACGCGCACGCGACGCGCACGTGGCGACGCGCCGTGCCTGTGAAAAGAAAATCGCACCCGCGCACGCTTGATGGGTATGCCGACGAGTAGCGGACTCGGCGTTCCTACGCTGACCTTCGCGCCACCTACACCGCGACTGTGCCAGACGCTAATGAAGACCAGGAGTGCAGGGTATGCCTGCTGCGTGATGTGTGCCGCTGCTGTCACGCGGGGGGGGGTAACGGGTTGTGACCTTCCCCCACGTGGACCATGCGGTTTCGTCGGACCGACGTCTCGGCTTCCCTCACAGCCCGAGGTTCGGAAACAACACTAGAAGAACCAAGTGCATTTTGTAGAGTATTTTGTGAATAATAATAAATCTATATATAGATCCTGCGGCGGTATCTGACGTGATATTTACGGTAGAGATATCCACTGGCTCCCTAACTCGGTGGCAATAAAACTAGTGGCAACCAAGACCTTCTGGAATCGGTCTAACTAAAAATGCTACTGGCCGCGAGTAACTGCATGACGTTACGCGCTACCCTGGTAATGATGGAACGAAGGAGTAGTGTGTCCTTGGATAGCAGCATCCCGAAAGCAACTAGGCCTACTACCCTTTGACTTAATTTGATCCAATTTTCATCACTCCGAACACAGCCTCCTTTAGCATAAAGTGCTTTTAGACTTTCCTCTGGTATTTTTGCTGCATAAAGACGACAATGTGTCCGTTGATTAGTAGTAGGTAGGTCAACCATGCAAGTTGAACATCTAAATGCAATCTAAACGGAGATACCCCTTCTTTAATAGCAAGCGCTTGCTGCTGATGATTTACGGGGATAGTCGTGTACCACCACATAGCGTATAATTATTGCCATTTTGCGACCATAAATTTGTTTCCCCGCTAAAAAAATACACGACGCCTGTTTAATTATAGCCCGCACTTACTTAGCTGTATGTAATAACCATCATGCTAATATAAATAGCTCAGCGCCCACACTTCCATGACGCATAATGACACTGCGTGCATGCGGACATTTACCGATAGATGGCGTCCGTGGCATGTACGTACGGGGAAAGCCGTACGCGTTACTCCGCATGACCGTTGCTCTCCGTATTTACCTGAGATGCCTTCTATAACGCAGGGTAGAGTCACATTGGCCCCTTCCTTCGGATATAGCTCCGTACTGCTGCCTTTTTTCTTCATGTGTTGTGCATCTACTAGCGATATCGCTGTAAGAGAGTGAAATAAGACAATGTTACGGCCGAATGTGGTCGTCATGGAGATTATATGGGCATCGAAAACCCGGCCAGCAACGCGCATAGGCAGACGATGACAACAAGCGATTTACACGTGAAAGAAAATTGATATAGAACCCGAAAAAGGAGCGAGGTGACCGCCTGCTAATATCGATATAGGCCCGATTGTGGGAATGCGGTATGTGGGCAAGCGAACCTGTAAACATAGTTATGGGATGTTTTGACGGTCGGTGTAGAATAATGCCCTGCCGGCGACTCGTTGTTGACGATGGATGCCACAAACGATAAACAACTGGCGTGTTTATACTGGATGTTTATTAATGAACATTAACGTCTCTCCGCGGATTTATTTGGATTTATTTGTACATGTTAAGAGCTCTGTAATCTATGTCAAGATCGTATCTTGGGGGTGGGGGTACTATCCAGAGATCTGTAGGTCGGTTTTATGCTAACATTTTATTGTTATCTTTGCCCATTGCGCTCATACCATGCGTTAAAACATCTCGCTGATAGTAAAGAAGCGATTAAATCAAAACGAGGCGTCGCCGCTAATGTTTATTTTGGAAATATCTGCGAGCGTCAACACGAGTGAGTGTCTACCGCGGGCGTGACGGTGGATGAATACGGCGGGTCGTGTGATTCACTGCACTCACTATGTCCAGGTGGCTATTTGATAGTCTATACATAAGAGAAGTTATAGTGTATAGAAGAAATTGTAAAAGAGGTATAATGGTGGGGGTTATAGCGTGTAGAGAAGGCTATAGAAAAGGCAAGAGACTACAAGTGAGTTGTAAGAAAGGTATAATTGCGGTGTACGCGAGATATAAGCGAGGTCTTAAGTTGTTATAAGTGAGGAATAGGGAAATATTTAATTGAGGCTATTAGATGTTAAAATTATCAGAAGTCGAATGATAGCATCTATCATTCATTCTTCTCATAAACATACTTTAGTAACGCAATCAGGAGTATATTCGAAGTCACTCCTGTTCTATTATCGTCTATATCAACTCTATTATTATTTCATATTTATTAGTACTCCTAACTACCAGGAACTTTGCGTGCGTGCGTAGTAGTGCGTGGAACCGCCTCGGCCCACTCTTCCGCCTGCGCACAAACAGAATTATGGCATGCCCGGGGGCGAATTTATTTTCCTACACGTTATATCAAGAGCGTATAAAGAAGCATCAGAAAACTTGCTTATCTACTGATCATAAACCATAACAAATATTTACAAATGGCGTTTGTTCCCTTGTTTTGAAGGTTTGTTGAGTCAAACTGTATAACTTTCTACGCAATCAAATCAAAGCAGCCAATCAGAGGAGCCCAAAACTCTGCAATGAATATAACGTGTGGGAAAAAGAATTCGCTGCCCGCGCCGGACGCTGATGGCCCCGCTGTCGCGGGAGGTTAATCTCAAGCTTTCCATCACTCGTAAACGTCGTCTGCCCGGCCACGGCAGCAGCAGCAGCTGTCGTCGATACAGCGCCGACACATGTGCATGGCTGCCGTTGGTCAGATAATAAAACGACGTTAGCGCGATGCAGCGGCCGACTGAAACCCGATGGTTCTGTCGGCGCAGTAAGGTGTGCACGGCTCGCCGAACATTTCCGGAATCACGCCCGATGTGTTTATCGCGTGCTGCGTGCGTATGTTCGGTCGATCAGTCGTTCGTTCCATCGTTCGTTCCTTCGTTTATTCCTTCGTTCGTTCTTTCGTTCGTTCATTCGTTTGGTTGGTCTGTCGGCTGCTCGTACGTTCGTTCGTTCGTTAGTTTATTCGTTCGTGCGTCCGCGCGTAGGCGCGACCGTTTGGCATTATAACGCGTGATGACGATTAGATACAATAACGTAACCCAAACACACTGATAGGGCCTATCCTGCCTATCCTGTGTTTGGGTTACGTTATTGTATCTAGATGACGATGTACGGTTCACAGCATGCCGTTCCGCGTCGTTGTCTTCGCTACTCGCATCGTCGCCGGTACCACAGTGTAAACAAGAGATGATCCAATTACTCACTGTAACCGCGGCGCGCCTGTACTACTAGGAGCGCTCCACTAGAGCGGCTTCGATAGTCCAGCGCATCCAATAAACACGTATTCGCGCCAGATATCGCATTACCGACTTTATTGAGATGTGTCTCGCGTCGTGTGACACTGGTGCGGCTCAAACTGTTACTGCCTTAAAGCTGCAATATCACTCAGGTCACCAACGCATTGGGATCGCGATTTTCCTTCTGTTCACTACTCCTAAACATCACGCATGACAGAAAAGTAACACTTTCCTACTTTCACATGCAGCTTAATGCCCGTATATGTCTCCGTATATATTCACCACTAAACTGAATCAACCTTGTCCGTTTGGAACAAGTCAGCCAAGCCAACAATAGGTAGTACAACATTACAAAAAACACAATGTCAACATTTATGTAAGACATTCACTCAGTATATGGGCAGCAGCCTCCGCCGCCACAACAACAACAACAACAACAACGGTACCCGCATCACTAATGAAGATGGGGTTGTTGTCGTATCAGGTACTACAGATATGTACCCGAGGTAGTTTTAGGTTGTTTAGTATTACGTTTATATTTTTATATGAGGTATGTTTAGAGTTAGGGTTAGTGTTAGGGTACACTTCTGTAGTACAAGTCTGGTACACTTTGTGTATACATAATTATATGGGGGGGGGGCTACCTCGGGTACATATCTGTAGTACCTGATACGACAACGACCCCTTGAGCATCACTAACAAGAGCAGTGGAGCAGCAGTAGCATTAGCTTAGCATTAGCAGTAGCAGTAGCGTATAGCAGTAGGCCTATAGCAGAAGGCCTACAGCATACGGTTAGCAGTAGCTTTAGCAAGTACGTAGCAGTAGCATAGCAGCAGCGACCATGCAGTAACGTTAGATAGACGGTATATTGGGTACTTTGATGTAGAATTGTAGCAAATTTGTATGTATAATGTAGTAATTGTATTAGTATACTTGACTTAGACATTATGCATTCCCTTCACTATAATTATTACTTATAATGACAAACATCT